GTTCTGATTGCCTGTTAAGTATTCGTGGGTGTGTTTTGACAATAGACCATACTTATTTTCTAGAATCAACTGCTAAGGTTTTAAAAAGAAAGATAGGAAAAACTGGAACTGAAAGCTTACTGAATTAGTTTACAGCAATGTATGTTTCAGTAGGACATTTTGAAATTGCTTGCATTGGGAGTTTTCATTTCAGTGGTAATGAGAGTGAAATTTTTCATACAGATAACCTTTTTAACGTGAAAGTATCAACTTATTTATCTAAAAAGAAATGAGTAGTGCCAGATGGCGTAAGTTGTTAGCCTGCAGTATGTGGTGCTTTAAATATGTGTTGTAAACAACACTGTTTCCAATTCACTAGAGACTTGTGGGTAAGTCTGCTGTCCTCTTCATTCTGCAAACTATTTGCAAGTAGAGGTTTTTCCTGCTTCTGCATAGGTTTCTTGGCCAAGGTTGTTATGCTTGTTGAACTATGAGAAAAATAATCTCGACACTGAGTAGCCTCTAACAAAATAGAAGCTTGCAGGGCATTTTCACTATCTCTTGAAAATCGAGGTGGCAGTATTTCAAGTACTAGAATGTAGGTAGCAGTCTCTTTTTTATGACCTTCCTTTCAGCCTCTTGTCATTTCGATGAGATTTGAGAGAGGGTGTGATTGCTATAAAAGTACACTTTACAGATAAATCTGCAGTCCATCATGGGTTTGATTGGGAGGGAAAAGGAAGGACAGGGACTTCAGCTGAATAACTCTGCCTGTTTCTCTACACTTACAAACATATTTTAACATTATTAGTGAAAAGTCTTGTCTTTTTTTTTTTTTTAACTCTTCAGTAACTGTGTTGCTATGGACTGGGATAAGGATGGAGATACTTTAGCAGTAATCACAGACAAATCAAGTGCCATATTTCTGTGGGATGCGAACACAAATAAAACAAGCCAAGTAGACAGTGGCATGAGGTAAGAAAGTTGTTGGTTTTTTTAAAGTGTGTATTTGAAGACTTGGACCGCTGTGGCTTGTTGATGTGAAGGGTATATTGAAAAGATCATCTTTTTATTGGAATTCTCATAGCACATATACTATTAAACTAATATGCTACAGTTTGGTGCTAAATTCTTGCATTGATGGAAATAACTGCACTAATTAGAAAATTCTGATTAAAATTGTTTTGCTTAAGAGGCTTTTTTTTTTAAAAAAAACTTGATGTATAGTATTTATCTGTGTACCCTTAAATAAACACCAAAATAGGCCTCACTGTATCTGAAACTGCAAGTTAAAATGGCTCTTTCTAACTTTCTTATTACATTGACTAGAACTAGACCTATTCAGTTGGAGTTGGCTGTATTCACAGGATTATTGAAGTACAAGAACACAATGCAGAAAATGACTGGAAAATTTCACGTACCTTCATGGTATCTTTGAGTGTTTTTTAAAGCTGCATATTTGGCCAAATTACCCATGATTCCATCAAAGACTGCTGATGTTTGCAGACACATTTCCATTTGTACAAGCCTTATTACGTTACTTTGTACAACTTTTTATTACTTTCGCTATTTTGTGCACACTTAAATAATTCTAATACTTGTTGTAGAAAAGATTTGCTTAATTTAAAAATTCTGCTTGGTCTGCATCATATCATAGACCTTCAAAACAAATACACAAAATGTTTTTATATGTAAGCACATGAAAGGAATCTCTACTATACAAAGTGAAATTTTTCTTTATTTTAGGGATGCAATGTCTTTCTTATTATGGTCTCGAGTTGGAACTTTACTTGCTGTTGGAACAACAAAGGGAAACTTACTTATATATAACCGTCAGACTTCTCGCAAGATTCCTGTTCTTGGTATGTGTTGGTTTGAAACTGAGCTTGCACACGTGAAAGTGGAATTTTGCTAATATACTTAGGTTCCTTTTTAGTTCTGTATATGAACATGCAAGACAAAAATGTGCTCATACTCAGCTTGCACCTTCCGTTTTGTTGTACTTACCAGAATATTTTTATAGTATAGTAAGTTAAAAATGTGTATACACATACCTGATACTGCCTCATGGGAAACTTCTGTTATCTTTTTTGCAAAGGATTTGTGTGGTTGTTCTTGTTGCTAAGTTACTTTTTCTTACCTGCTTAGAGTGCCTCTGGGCAGAAAGGTTAAGGATATAGCACAATCCCCAGAAATTTGATGCAAAGAAATGGAAGAACAGGGGCTATGCAAGTTCCTGTAAGGTCAAAAGACTTCCATGTGGGGACGGAAGATTTTTTTTAAAAAGTGACTCTTGAATTTGTAATTGCTCTGAGAAATTGTTTCACATTCTGACAACTTGTGTTTGAGTGGCCAAATTGAGCATATTTCCATCCCAGATGTTTTTTGTGGTTGTATTCATTTGTGTTTTATAGGTTTCTTTCTTTTTCAGGTAAGCACACTAAGCGGATTACTTGTGGGTGTTGGAGTACTGAAAACCTTCTGGCTCTAGGCGGTGAAGACAAAATGATTACTATAAGCAATCAGGAAGGGGATACTATAAGACAGGTAGTATTTATAACCCCCCTTGATTTTAAGACGTACATTAATACTCCTGGTTCCTGAGAAAGCTGGGACCTATGGGAGCTTATACCTTTTCAGTCCCGCTGCTTTCAAGGACAAGAAGCCTTTGGGAAACCTCATGTAGGATGAGGGCGTATCTAAACATCTGATTCTCTGTGTTACGCGATGTGATTTATGATATTAGAGTCTCTGCGATTTTGCTCTGGTCCTGCCTAAAGATGCTTCTGTCATCCCTGATCCCTATCTGTATCTGTTACAAGCAGATCCTATGAGTGCAGTCTTAGGTTGACTTCGCCAATAGCAACACAGAACAGCTCTCACATGACTTTTTATAAGGTCTTTAGGAAGTACTTTTAGTGTTTGTTTTGCTTTACATTGGTTAAACAAAGATCTTGCCTCTGATGTGCAAGGATTACTCCTAGGCAGGACCTCTATTGCATTGAGAGTCTGATTACAGTGCTTCCTCCAAGTACACTCAGATTCTCTAATCAAGCATTCTGTTTCTTTATGTACATCACAGTCCTTCGGAGCAATGACAGTTGCTGCATAATGTGCAAATGAACGTAATTCACTTTTTTAACTTTAACGAACAGTGTTTCACGCAAGATTTTCAAAGGACAAATCTTTCATGGTTCATTTCATGTGTTTCCATCTTTATGTCTGAAGATCACAATTGGAGAAGAATACCCTAATAAATTTATTAGGATATGTCTGCACTTTAAACTAACTGGCTTAAGTAGTAAAAGCAGTGTAGCTGAGAGAGCAGAGACCTAAGCAAGGCTTGCTTATGAGGTTTTGTAACCTCATATTGACTACCAGAGCAACTAGATTGCTATCACTACCTAATCAGATCAGGTATGTCCACATTAAAATGCATTGTAAATATTTGACCTGTATGCATTCTTGGTCCTCCTTCTTTGAATTTGCATTGGAGTGACCTTGTTTGTACTGCTTCAGTTAGTACTGTCTGTATATCAGCTTGCAAGTCTTCTTCCTCATCCGGATCTTTCCTTCTTTATTTGGATTTGTATTTCTAACTGTTTCCTAGATGTTTTTTCAGTATATTCCATGATAACATGTCATTATGATCCAAACTGAGATTGTGTTTTCTCCAACTTTTTTTCTTAGTTTTGATACTAAATGCAATAACAACTCTATCTATCTATCCTTAACATGAAAATGTACAGGGTGGGAATAATGCAATTATCATCGGTATTTGCTGCATTAACCGTTGATTTCTCAGTCTGAACCTGTTTCTTGCAGACCTCAGTGAGCTCAGATCCCAGTGATATGCAGTTCTCAGTTATGAAGACTGATGAAAGGATATCAACCAGGGAAAGCACAGTAAGAAGTCAATGCAAAATACTGCAAAAAGTGTTAATCTGATATTTCATGGTTTCTGCTGGCAACCAGTATGGGCCAGGAAGCAGTTTGTTCCTCCTTGACTAAAATTTGGTGTTGAAGATTATTTTTTTTTCTTTTCCAAAACTTTCCTTTAAAGTAAAGCCATACCCTTTTGTTCATTAAGGATGTGTTCATGAAATGTGCAATCGTTAGCAATATGACAGGTAACAGAGCAGTTTTTCTGTGGTAGTTAACATTAGATGGAGATGTGTGCAGGGATTTAAAGAAATACATACAATATAAATATAGAACAGTATATGCGACGTGGCAGATGGAAATGGAGCAGGAAGCAGGATTGTCAAAATTACAGAGATGCTGCCTTTCAGAGGGCAGATTTTCAGCTGTCAATTTTGGGAACAGATCACTGCTCTCTAGGTTTTCATCTTGTGAGAACCTTGGCATCAGCGAGACTAAAAGCTCCAGTGTCAGTCTTCTGGTGCGAGCATTATCTTGTCTCTGTCTAAATAACTACAGTTTCATTGTCTGTCTTGAATGAATCAAAGTCCAGCAGATCGGTCAATGGTGAAGTACAGAAAAATGGGGTAATGCTGAGTATTAGCAGAGCGTATTATTAAATGATCAGCAATGAAATACAAAGACAAGACATAGAAAATCCATGGATAGAAAGGTAGTACTGTGTTAGAATTTGTCTGGATCTATACACTTATACAACATAATTAAATTATCACAGTCGGATTTAATCTGTGGAGTGTAAGTGTCAAGAAAGAATTCTTCCCCTTGTTTACACTGACAAGGACCTGTGGGAGTTTTTTGTGTCTCTGCATGGAGTGAAATGTTTTCTGCTTCCTAGGGAAAATTTAATTAACAGATAATTTGAAAATGCAGGAGCTGAGGACTTCAGCCTTGATTTCTTCTGATGCTTCCTAGGGCATGCGATAGCCTAGGCTCTGCAGGTTTTTTATTACAGCTTGCAAGTTTGCTGTAAAATGTTAAGGAACATTCTCTAATTCTGTAGTTGTTGGGTTTTGTGCTTGGACAGTCTGTCAGCAGCTCTAACCACATAGCATTTATTGTCTAGGTGTATCTATTGGTTTAATAATGATCACTTCCAAGCTGTTAGTTATGACATCAGGAAAAAAAAAACAAGTTGGATCAAAATAAGTAGTACTAGAGTTAATATAAAATAATTCATGTAATTTCTTAGACTAGTTTAAGAAATAGTATTTCTTAATTACTTCATCATTAAGCTGCAATGAAATTATAAGCAAACTATTTTAAAAAGCAGAAAACATACTTTCTATATTTGGGGTACCTTTAGGAATTATAGGTCAGAATTTGAGTTTGTAATTCTGGATTAATGGATTTTTGGATCAACATATGCCTTTTTTCCCCAGTTTGAAAATACCAGCTTTGTATTTCATTCATCCAGCTCTTATTTTAGGAATAAACCATTGTCTCCTTTTTTGTCAAGGAGAGCTGGAACAGAAGGTAATGTAAAGTAAACTTGTAAATAGCCCTTCAAAGTGTCTTTGTCAAAGAATAAGGTGAAACGAACTGCTCCTCCTTGCTTTTTCTAAAATGAGTGTTTTACTGTTGCCCAACAGTAACACACACTCTAGTAATAAAAACAATCTTTAAAAAAACGCCAAAATTCAACTTGTCTTCCACTATGAAGTCCAACATCTCTATGGGATTCATCAAATAAAATATACTCACTGAGACTAATATCAAAGTGTAAGTATTGGATGTTTAATAGACACTGAACAGGCTGTTTCTTTTGGAATTGTCTTTCTGTCTTTGAAATCGCAGCAAGTTACTTGAGATAGCATTGTTTTGATAGTCTTCCCTTCAGCCTCCCGGATGAAAATTCCATGGATCAAAAACCACATCGTAGTTCAAGTGAGAGCAGTCCAACAGGATAACTCCATGTGACCTGCTGCCCTTTCTTCTGAGAAGACAGAGCTGACTTTATGCTTCTGTAGGAAAAAGAGTTGAATTTGAGATGTGTGTTCTTCTGGGTTTGCATTTATATCTGTGAACCACTGGCTCACACGGGGAATAGCCTGAAAATCTCTTCCACTGTTGATAAAGATTCAGAATTGAGATCCTTGGGATTCTTAAGGGTTATTGAAAGCCCTAAATCTCATCTTTTAGTGGAGATGTAGGGCCTTGTTTTAAAGGGATACCATTCATCAAGTTAATTTTTCTTTTCATTCATTGGCAGGTAAGTGTAGTGGTCGGCAAGAAGACTCTCTTTCTTTTTAATTTGAATGATCCTGATAACCCGATTGATCTGAAATTTCAGCAGCCTTATGGCAGTATTGTAACCTACAAATGGTGAGCAGAACTTTCTTAATGAAGCATTCTAGTATTAACAAGCTGAAGATTTTCCCAGTAGTTCTGATAAATGCTGGAAATTATATATCCCTTGCTTACACTGGATTTTTCTTGGATGTATTGTAGCCTTTCAAATAATCCTTTTTCAAACACAAAGAAATCTACTTTTTCTAATTGTTTTACTTGGCAATTCAATGGCTCTGAAAGCAGTATTTTCAAATACAGTCGCTGTTGGTATGCTCAGCTTTAGAACAGTGACACTGTTGCTGTCCTGACAGTAGATTAAACTAAGGGTTTTATAGGTTGGTTTTCTGTTTGGATGAGTAACTGATCAAAGACCTAGGGGTGGAGTTGTGTCCGTCAGCTAGTTTGTTGGTTTACAAAGTTATGCAAAGTTCTTGTAGCCTCCCTGCTATGTAATTCAGTTGGTGATGTTCCTTTGAAGAAATCCCAAGCAAGAGTTTCAAATCTGTACACAAAAAGTAGCTGTACTGTTTCTGTATCTTTGAATCATGACACCGTGTTGTTTAATGTCTGTTCAGTCAACATAGAATTGACATTCCCTTTGCACTACAACTGTGTAAGAAAACCTGCAGCTACATACTTCTTAATTTATGGCCACATGTCTAACAGGGCATACCTGGGCTGTTTCCCTTGCTATGATTTTTTTACAACTAAGCTGATGAGGTATTGTTTGAATTCATCCTTACACACTGTAACTATTTCTGCCTTAACCTCATTATTTCTACTTGACACTATGAAAAGTAAGCAGACTATCTATTCACAAATACAGATTGTAGCTTTGGTACCTCCACTGTGTTTGCAGTAGTATGCCTTAAGGGCAGAGTGATTGGCATCATTGTTTTTAGCATAGCTTTGTTGGGACCAAGTCAGCCGGAACCTTGAACTGGAAGTTTCCATCTTTTGGCATGCTTATTCCAATGAAGATACCAGAGGTCTTTCTCCTGGCATCACTGCCATGTATGCAGCTTGCTGAAAGTAAAGTGGCATTATAGAATGTAGAAGAGAGAATAAAGATGACTTATGAGAGAGCTCTGGGCACAAATGTGGTGTTGTCCTTTAAGATTAATCTTTGGTTGTTTTTCCCTTGGTCTGTTTTATACTATATTGTTCTACATGATATATATATATAAATTCCCATAATTTGATTATTTTTCCTATTAAAGGGAGGCATTGACAATTACTCCAGTAGTCTGAAAGAAAATGCATTTTGCATATTCAATAAATAGATCTCTTAATTTTTGGTGTTTTTTTTGTAACAGGTATGGCGATGGCTACATTATGATTGGTTTCTCACGAGGGTGTTTCGTAGTCATTTCAACACACATTCGTGAGATAGGTCAAGAAATATTTCAAGCTCATAATCATAAGGATAATCTAAGCAGCATTGCTATATCACAATCATTGAACAAAGCTGCATCATGTGGAGACAATTGGTAAGTGGTGGTTTTATGTATAAAGAATGGAATTCATCTCACATACCTGTAGCTCTTAGGCGTTAAAGCTAGGCTCCCTAAGGCTTCAAGGCTCCCTAAGAAGTCAGGGCAGAGAAGGTGAGATGAACTGCTCTGTGGAACTGCCTCTCTGCCTAAAGTTAGGAGAAGCTAATTTTGACCAAAATCTCTGCAATTGTTACTAACTTTATTGTAATTGATTGTAAACAAAAAAAAAAAAATCAAGTAAAATTCGGTATAGATTATTCCTTTTCATTCTTTCTTTTTCTGCTATGTTACTTGGCAACAAAAATGTCCGAATTTCTTTACTGTGATTTATTGATTGGACATAAACATCTGCTTAGCAAAGGAGAACAATTCATTTAAAGCTTTATGGAGTATGTTGATATCCTGATATCCTCCTCCCTAGTGTTTGGTCTTACCTGCAATCTAGACAAAAGTATAAATGTGTAAGCAATTAAGGAAAAAAATAGAGACTGGATTTTTTCCAAAATATGTTCTGCATATGATAGAATATCTCCTTTGGCTCCTCGTCTGCTACTCCTTGATTCTGTGTTATCTGAATTCTTCAACAAAAAAGGAGCTGAGTGATGGTAGGAGTCAGACCATTCTCTCTATCCTCAGTTCTGTGAATGACCTTAACAGACTGCTGATTTATGACACTTGCACATCAGGAGTGGTATAACTATGAGCAAAACATGGTGCAACTTCAAGCACTTCAGCTATTGTACAAGTATTATTTCTTTAAGGGGTTCTTTAGCATATATTGAGTAGCATGACAGCATAAGTACACTCTCACTCTGTCCTTTTTTGTGTGAAGCGGGATTGAAAGTTAGTTTCTTGCATCTCTCGTTCAACCAGTGCTTGTCCATCAGGAATGCGTTTTTAACCTAGCCAGCATTGTAACTGGTCAAAAGGGAATAGTAGTGTTGTGTTTCCTGCCCCAGAGTTCTTTCAAATCGGTTTTGTGCCTTTTCCTCAAATTTTAGTTCTCTGAGCAAATCTTTTTGTACAGTCATAGTGATACAGTGTTTAGAGGCTGGGTAACAATGAGTGTGTGTTGCTCTGTAGGAAATGGAAGGCATTTTGCATTTGCACTTTATTTTTCGCTCCATTAGGCTGTCTTGATTGGGTTGGGTTTCTTCCAGTTTGTGACAACTGAGATTTATATTGGTGAGAATGACTGACTATTTTTGTTTTAGCATTAAAATCCATGATCTGTCAGACCTGAGAGAAATGTATGCCATAATAAACTTGGATGATGAAAACAAAGGTATGTTAACAGTCTCCGTGAAGATAGAAATTTTTACAAATTAAATAAGACAGAATTTTCATGATGACGCTGTTTAGATGAGTGAAAGTACTGTTGTTGAAAAACTCTGTAAATAAATTCCTTCTTTCCCAACTTGTATTTGTTAGGTGACCCATAGCAAAATGGGAATGTATTTTATTTTATCTGTTCAAAGTATAGAGAAGTACAGCTCTCAGAATATTTGATCAGTTAGCGTTTCGGTTTTTTGAATCTGTAATACAGTATATTCAGATTACTAAAATAATACACTTAACTGGTTTCTGCTTCTTTCCGTGGTGTTTTTGGTGTGGTTTTTTTGTGCTTTTCAGCATCTCTTGTTCTGACATATGAAACTTAATCTGTTCTTATCCTGATATACAGGATTTGTGCCTGTGGCTTCCAGAACGTTGTTACAAGAGTATGTTCTTGGGTAAAGAGTTACCACCATTATCTGCTCTTGTAGTATCTGTAAATACTTCAGTTATTGTCAAGTCTTCACTCTAGGAAAATGCTAAATTAGTAAATTATGGGTTTGGTTTGAGTGATTCCAGTTAATCTTGGAATTATATTCATTGGTGATGTTTAACTACATTAGTACATATATTCGTAGGTATGAATTCCTACCATTTTCACATTTTAAAGCAAAATAATTGTTTCTTGGTTTCAGTAGTTAAAGTTTTGGGGTTTTTTTTGTAAAAACTTGTGAATGTTTTAGGTGTAGATCAGCTGGCTTGGACAGATGATGGACAGTTGTTGGCAGTATCTACACGAAGAGGGTCCCTCCATGTTTTCTTGACAAAGCTTCCAATCCTTGGAGATGCTTGCAGTACACGGATTGCATACCTCACTTCTCTTCTTGAAGTTACTGTAGCCAATCATGTAGAGAAAGTATGATAACCTCTTCCTTTTAAATTTCGTTTAGATATAAATAAAGCAAGTATTAATAGTGAATGAAAACTGATTTATTTGTGTTTTTTTTTTCGTACAGGAACTACCAGTCACAGTCTCTGTTGAAGTAGAGCCCAGTTTTGTTGCTATTGGTGTTTATCATTTGGCTGTAGGAATGAACAATCGGGCTTGGTTTTATGCACTTGGAGACAATAGTAAGCATAAATTTAGTTGTCTTAAAACTACTGCATCATTGTGTCTTATTTTATGAATTTGGTGTTGTGTTTAGCAGTTCTGGACATTCCGCATTGTACAGTAACAACTTACATTGCTGTATGGTCCTGGTAATGATCTTCACAAACTGAAGCAGTTATGACAAGGCATTGTAAATAGTAGAAATAAAACTTCAGGTTCAAGATACTGGAATTGAAATGTAGACTGTTTCTTTTTTGGTTTTTTTTGGTTCATGTTGTTAACCAATGAAGGACTTCTAGGCTTTTGAGATGTTATTTGACTGTGTCTTTAAATACTAAGTTTGGCAAAGTACCTAGGAACTATATGATCACCGGGTTTAAATTCTCAGTTTGGTAGATGTTGATGTAGTTTGCATGGGGTAAGGTAAAATTGGTTATGCTATGTCCAAATTTTAGACAGTGGATTTAAACCTTTCATGTCTCTCTAAGCATCACCTTTTTTGACTAATAATAAATTAATCAAAACTGTAAGAATGCTAGTCAGAGTTGCATAGGAGAAGAGTTTCTCTTGTACTTTCTAGCCAGTTCTCTGGCTGCTAAGAAGAAGATCTCTTTACATGTGACTTGTCCTCTCTGCTTAGTTACGAGTTTTTCATGTCTGGTTACTCAGCTGCAAATTTAGATTATGATAAGCAAAGACCTATTCAAAAATCAAAATATTTTTACATTTTCTTTTCTGTTTGAATTCTTTAGATGTAAAAAAGCTCAAAGATGTGGAGTACCTGGGGACAGTAGCAAGTATGCACCTTAATTCCGATTATGCAGCTGCTCTTTTTGAGGGTAAAGTCCAGTTGCATATGGTAAGAGCTCTGGCAGTTTGGAGTGCTGAACTAATGAGTTGATCTAAGCTGAACAAGTTAATGTAATTTTTAAAATGACAGAAAATGGAGTGATCTTCAGTTAATGAAGATAAAAATTAAAAATGCTTTATAACTTTTTTGCCAGCTAATTAAAATATAAAACTGAGTTCCTGTAGACTTTAGAAATACAATCTGGTCTAGAACAGGTGAAGAAAAAGTGTTTTCTTGTGAACTGTTTAACAAGTTTTATTTTAAGAGTCTCTGTGGGAATGTGACAGAAGCAGATGCTGGGTTTTTAACAGATGCACATGCAAGTTTGTTTTCATCTCATTTCCTTACAGTTTGATACAGGCAAAACTGTGATACCTCATTGTTAACAGTGGAGTTTTTCAGTTTGTTCTATTCTTTATATTTAGATAGAAAGTGAAGGTTCGGATGCTCAGGAAGAACGAGAAACTCGACTCTTCCCAGCAGATGATCATAAATACCGAATTTTGTGCCATGCTTTAACTAGTGACTTCCTCATATATGGTACAGATGTAAGTATTCTGTTTTTAAAGATCTTTTTAGGTGGAATATATTCCTATCTGAATTATTCAGACTATTATTCATATTTTTAGCAAAAGAATTGTGCTTTGGAGAAGTTTACAGTGGATTATTTTCCATGCAAGGACTTTATGCAATACAGTCAAAATTACATTCCACTTCCTTTACTGTTGCATGTATATGAAATGTGTTGACAGGAATGTTAAGTTATGCTTTTGCTAGTGTTTGTTGCAAAACACTGATTTTACTAGCAGGATTTAATTCTGTTGCATTAGCGAGAGGGCTGGCAATCAAACTGTCTTCCAGATAGAGGAAAAAACATAGCACTTGCCTTGCAAGTTTGATTCAGGTGGTGATGCGATAGATGTGGACAAAAAGGTACTGAGGTAAACCAGGATGATAGCATAAATGGAAGTCTTGACTTGTTATTGAAACCTTTGCCTGAAGAGAGTTTTTTTTTCAGGTGCTTCCACAAAAACAGGAGTTAGGAGGGCACTGAAGAAGGATGTGAATATGCTTATTGATTTTTCTGGAGATTTTCCTGTGCATGAGGGGTAGTTTTTTCCTTCTAGTATTTTCTGGCACTGGGGAATACAGGGCACATTTGTGATACAGAATGATGTGTTGTCCTTGCAGAGGAAAGACAGAATCACTGTCTGTGGTGGTATCACTGATTTAGTAACTTGAGTAGTTTTGCAGCAGGTGAGGGCTTTCCCGCCTCCTTAGTAACCTAAACTGGTAGATAACTTTGAAATACTAAATTTGCGACTGTTCACTTTGAGGTGTACAAATTTTACAATTGACTTCAAAAGCCGCCTTTTACTTTCAGTGTTCTTTGTGCATCACTGATTGAAATACAGCATTAATCACATATCAGTTTGATTGCTTTTCTCCCCTGAATTAGGTACGTCTGTTCTTAAGAATGTGTAGTTCTTCCTCGGAGGCAAATTTTTCAGCTTTGTTTGAAGGTTAAGCTTCTCTCAGCAATGAGGCAGGCATTTCCCCTGTTTAGAGAACTGCACAGTAAATACAGCTTGTCTCCACAAAGCACAGTGAGATAAACAACAAAACCAACAGAAAACCCCTCAAACCTCCAGCTCCTGTCCCCACCCCACAAAAAGTCTGAAATTTTCCCATCCTGTCCCAAACCAGCTGTGAATGAAGAAGGAACCCAAAAAAACACCTGGAAGTATTTTTCTTTAGACACTCTTCATGCTCAGCACTCTAAGATGGGAGAAACTACAACCAAGTTAATTATCTGCTTGCCACTTACTGATGTCATTATTAGCTTTTTCTGTTGTTTCTCATTAGACTGGAGTTATTTATTATTTCTATATTGAAGACTGGCAATATGTGAATGAGTATCGGCATCCTGTCAGTGTGAGAAAAATTTTTCCAGATCCCAATGGAACCAGTTTGGCTTTCATAGATGACAAAAGTGATGGCTTTGTCTATTGTCCAGTAAGTTACTGTGGGATACCCATACAATTAAATTTACAAGCAGAGTCTTCAACTTTGTGGTGTTTGTAATAGAGAATGAAGAAGCTTTTGTCACTCCAATGCGTGTGCTGATAGAAGAAATAGCCAAGGAGGCTTGAAGATAACTTAATGGTAACGTAAGGAAATAAAATCTGTCATATTAGATCAGGACAATTTCTGTGTGTTTGTGTATTCAAATACAGATCTTTTAGCCCTTTAACAAGCACTGCCCGTTTCACTGCCCGTCCCCATAACTTTTTTCTAAGAAAAGTAAATAACATTCATATAATGTGCATTTTCTTTGTTTACTTCCCTTCTGAATTAAATTATGTTATTCAGAGTCACTGCTTATAAGAAAACTTTTTCTTAATACAATTTTTGTATTTCTGCACTATTTATATTCTTTTTTAAGCATAACAGGAATAAATATTTAGTTTGTCTCCTTAATCAGTTGCTAGTAATTTTACTTTTGCATTATTTGTAGGTAAATGATAGATTATATGAGATTCCAGACTTCTCACCAACTATTAAAGGAATACTGTGGGAAAACTGGCAAATGGATAAAGGTGTTTTTGTTGCTTTTGATGATGATAAAGTGTACACTTATGTTTTTCATAAGGATGCCGTTCAAGGTACTGTAAATGCTTTTAAAAACTTACTCACTACTTAGTTAATAAAGTAAAACATATTCTGAGCCTTCATTGGTCTTAAGTATTTTCATAACTGCATATAAAAATAAACAGTACTACAGCTGTTTTGAAGTGCAACTGATGAACAGAAAACTAATTGTTTTGTAGGCTTCTCTGTAAAGTTCCAAGAAGGCATTTTGGTCTTAACTTCCTAAGCTTCTTGCTATTATAATCTTTCGTCTGCAGTTTACACATTGTGCTTCAATTGTATTTTGAAATGTTCATGAGAAAATCTTAGGATCAGGGTGACAAAACTTGTGTTCTCTTACGCTGTTAACCAAAATTGTAATCATAGTAATTTCTGTATTCGTGATGGAGAAACATTAGAAAATTTATCTACAAACATTTGGGAAATCACCTTACTAGTTTAGAAGATTTAAGTTATGTATGTTTACTTTACTGAAAAATACGTGCTGTACGGTAGAAGGTGACTACTGGAATTAGAGACCTTGAATTGATGCCTTGCAAATCTGCGTTATTTCAGCTGTAACTGCTACAGTTTTTACCATGTAGCGATTTTTTTTAAATGACATCTTCTTTTCTTCCTGATCTTTGAATCTAGGGTCAAAGATTATTTTGGCAGGTGGCACGGAAGTCCCCTTTTCCCATAAACCTTTGTTGTTGTATAATGGAGAATTAACTTGTCAGACTCAGAGTGGGAAAACAAACAATATCTATCTAAGCACTCACAGTTTCCTTGGCAATTTGAAAGACTTTGGACCTAATGAGCTGACACAAATGCTTTCTCAGACTTTAATGTTGAAAAGGTACATCTGCGTTTTAATTACATTGCGTAAATTGTTTTCTTCTGTGCTTATAGCTCAATACAACATATCCTGGTCATTTAAAAATGTCAAGCTGAATATTGATAAATTAGATTGAGCCACAAGTCCATTTAGCTGTCTGTGCAGACCAAGCAAAGTAAGTGACCCGGTGGTACTTTGTTTTTCCACTGTCAAGTAAAAGCTAAAGTAATTTTTTTCAAGACTGATTCGGGGTTCTAGGACAGTGGCTCTTCCAAAACTGGCTGAAGGTGCTTCTTGCATGCTCCTCTGCCACTGTAATGAAGCAATGCAAAATCAGTATAATGGAAAGAATGCCAGAGGAGGGAAAGCAGATGGTTTCCTGAAAAAGCGTGGTAGAAACAGGAGAAACAGAACTGTAAGTTATGCATTTGTATTTCTCCTTTCCTTCTGACACATCTCTCTCCATGGCTTAGAAATAAATGCTTTTTATGTTTTCCCTACCATAGAAAAGGTGTTGAGAGGGAATTTTAGGTACAAGTAATACTCTTTTTAAATTAGTTTTACCTTCTATAGGTTTTCTGAAGCATGGGAGGTGTGCAGACTTCTGAATGACCAGTCTGGTTGGAATGAGCTGGCTAAAGCTTGCTTACATCATATGGAGGTGGATTTTGCAATACGTGTTTATCGGACACTTGGTAATGCTGGAATGGTGATGTCACTAGAGCAAATAAAGGTAAAATGTGAAGTCCCTTTTAAATAAGAGATACGATGATTTAATTCTTCTTCAAGAATTGCTGAATTCTTATTTTTGTGGGGATTTTTGGTTTTTTTAAATAGAAGGTGAATTATTTTCAAGGGAGTTACTAGTTATAGAGGAGAAAGTGTCCAAACCACATAACTATTGCTTGGTTTTGTCTTGGAGTGGTTGCAGTCTCTGCTGGAATGCACGACAGTCCTTTCTGCATTTGCTTGAGAGCAACTGAATATATTCCTGTCTTGGGAATTTGGATTATCTTTTTTACTTTGTTATTTCTGACAAAATATTTAAGGCTACTATTACTATTTTAAAAAGAACAGATTGCAATTATACATCTTAAAAGTGTGCATGAAATAGTACCTTAAAAATATACTTCTGCAAATTGCTGGGTTTAGAGAGTGTTAGCTGTAGTGGGTTTGAACTACAATAAGAGGGCTTTTTCTGGTTTGTAGAATATATAAGGATACTTTGTTTTACTGTGCTTACTAGATTATATTACTCAGAACAATATTTTTTTCTTTTGGACTACTTTTGCACTTATTATGTCTTTTTACAGGGAATAGAAGACCACAACCTTTTAGCAGGACATCTTGCCATGTTTACTAGTGATTTTAATCTGGCTCAGGATTTATATCTGGCATCCTCCTGTCCTATTGCTGCACTTGAGGTATTAATTTAAGATGCGTAAATTTTTTTCTGCTATTTTCATCTCTAATGTTGGAATATTTTACCTTCTGATAATTCTGCCCTTTTATGGTTTTGTTCTTGCCATTGTGGATGAATGTCTCTCTCTCAAATTGTCTGAATCTTTCTAGAATACTAGCTCTATATTTTTATTTAGAATAAGATAAAGTTCATATTAGAATTCAGAATTTGATACTTGCATCAGCAAATGTTACTGTTCTTTGTTAACAGATGCGAAAAGACTTGCAACACTGGGACAGTGCACTTCAGCTGGCTAAGCGTTTGGCCCCGGACCAAATCCCTTTCATATCAAAGGAATATGCAATGCAGCTTGAATTCACGTAAGTTCTCCTGTAAAGTTCCAGTATAAGAATATTAAACCAATACTCATGCTCACTAAAAGAACATAGAATTGAGGTTCTTCAGCTGAATGTATTGCTGAGGGAGGATTCTGTGAGGTCTTGCAGCTATAGTACAAGGAAGCGTAGTTTTGTAAGGAATACTTCATGCTAGAGACATATGTTAGCAAATAATAGTTACTTTTGATTAATTTCAGTACATCTGGGTTCTTTGCAACTGATAGGTCCACTATATAATAATATCATCTACTAAATAAATACTTTGTTGCAGGCGAGTGCTTGGAAAATAGAGAAAATTCACAGTATTTAACACTTCTTACGTTGGATGAAAGCCTTGCGTTTTGCCTGTCTTTCCTTAAATACCCAGTAGCCTTAATTTTCTTACATATTTTAGGCAGAGGGGTGTCAAATTTCAAGGCTGCCAGTCCCTGAAAGAGAGAAGGTATTAACCATTTGCCATGATTTTAAAGTCTATTTTATAGCTAATTCTTCCCAGGTAAAACCTGGTCTGTTTAATGTCTAAACCAAGACGAAAAACAATCTATTAATAGAGTTTTTAGACAACTCCTTCCCCTGGCAGTGTGCCTGGCACTGAGAGAGGACACTTGTTGGTCACAGAAAGGAAGGAGCGGAGGCAGTTGAAGCAATGCAGCCATCTGTAACTTGAGTTCTGAATGTACTTAAGGAAAAAAAATTGCCTTCATTTTTTTGTTGTGAAAATTCTAAATAATTTTAGAAGGTTAGTTTCATTTATCTTCCATGTGGAAGTAGAGATGAGATTATTGAGGTGTATTGTGCAGACAGATTCTTTGCCTGTCTTTCAAGGGAGGTTTATTGGTCTCAGTATAATGGAACTGAAGAGATGGACTGCCTCTTTGACTAATAGCTTGATAAGTGCTTGGGAAGTGCTGTGACGTACTGTGTAACTGTCCATCTTTTGCATACTTCACATCCTTGTATGAAGTCATTATGTCTAAAGCAAGACAGATACATGTGTAATCTGTGTGGTAGGAAGGTAAGCATTTCTTCCTATTAAAAATATTCTTCCATATAACTTCCATTTTCTTTTAGGGGTGATTATATTAATGCTCTGGCACATTATGAAAAGGGAATCACCAGAAACAATAAGGTAATTCCTTTTTAGTAACGATAGCATTTGTACTATCATACTACACATTAAGTTGTCGTGTTTAGACTCATTTGAATTAAGATTTTTTTTTTTTATTCAGCTCTAAATCTATGTTGCTTTTGGGATAGCAGTCTTTGTGCTTCTCTTATTTTTAATATACAGAATAATGCTTTCTCTAGGTATAAAGCAGTATTGCCATTGTATTAACATGGCATAATTAAACTTAGTTTTTTGTAATTTGAGCAGTTTCATAATAGATGTGCAAATGTCAGAGAAAACATTGCTAGGATTTTCATTGTTATAACAAAAGTCCTAATTATTCCTTCTATTCTTCATTACTGAATTGTTATCTATATAAAGAAAAGCAAGGATTGTATTAGAAAATAAACATTATGTGCAGTAGATCCTCCCTTATTCTGGCATTATTTCCCCTAATATTTGCAATATATGTCTATTATGAAGCAGCTTAAATGATAATAAGGGAAAAAAATAGGGGAAATAGCAACATTTTCTGAATTCAAGCCATATGGCTTTATGAAACATCAGTGGCCTTACCACCTTTTAAAAAAAAAAAAAAAAAAGGAAAAAATAAAAAAAGGAAATATCCTACTTGTAGTTTCTCTACTGTTGGTTTTGGAGGAAGGAAGAGAGTAGTACTGAGCTGTCTGTAAAACAGATTCTTCTCATGTATGCTTGCTCTGGGCAGATCTTGTAAGTAAAATGTGAAAATTAAAGACAAAGCTTAAGAAGAAAACTAAGCCGAGTTCTTCTAAATAAGTGACAGGTGCAGCTAGGCAAGAATTTTGAGTCAAAAATTCTTGTAATGTTTTGTTACTTTGTTTCAGTGCTTGGTTACTGCGGCTTTTGTGACCCGATATTTCTGTTGTATAATGTATAGTTACTGCTTTTCATTTGATTGCCAGTACCAGGAACATGATGAAGCTTGCCTTGCTGGAGTGGCTCAAATGTCCATTCGAATGGGAGATATCCGTCGAGGGGTAAACCAGGCCATTAAACATCCCAGTAGGTTACTAAAAAGAGACTGTGGAGCTATTCTGGAGAGTATGAAGGTATTCAAAAGAATTAATAAAGCTAAGGCTGAATATGTGAATTCATCAAGCTATGTATTTGTAATCTTAACTTAGAAATTATATTTTAATGATTTCCAATATTGTAGCAATTTTCAGAAGCTGCTCAGCTGTATGAAAAGGGACAATATCATGACAAGGCAGCATCAGTATACATACGGTGTAAAAACTGGTAAGTACAGGTTTCAGGGACGTGTTATATTTCAGAAGACTTGCTGTGATGCTGTTTTGAAAGGAATGATCTCTGAATAGCACAAATGTTCCATTAATTATGTTTCATTGATTTTATTGTTCCCTCCCACAAGCTTAAACAAGAACAGTGTTCTCAGAGAAGCTTATATTGTTTTAAATATAATCTTACTGTAAATCGGAGATACTCTTTTTTCTTTTTTTGGTTATGTTTAGTTACCTGCGTTTTGAGTCCTGCATGTGTGTGTGCACATGCACACGCGTGCACTGAATTTAGTAATTTTATTCATGTAGTTACTGTTTAGTTCATTAAATTTCTTCAGTTATAAAATACATAGCTGAGACTGAATATTTAGACAGTTGGAAGTTATTCTAAGTTGCTGGTTCAATGGAGTCTGTATCATGTCAAAGTCTGTATCTTTGACACTGTCTCCCACGGCATTCTCCTGGAGAAACTGGCAGCTCATGGTCTGGACAGGAAAACCCTTCGCTGGGTGAGAAACTGGCTGGCCGGCCGTGCCCAGATAGTGGTGGTGAATGGAGCTAAATCCAGTTGGTGGCCGGTCACCAGTGGTGTTCCTCAGGGCTCAGTGTTGGGGCCAGGTCTGTTTAACATCTTCATTGATGATTTGGATGAGGGAATTGAGTGCACCCTCAGTAAGTTTGCAGACGACACCAAGCTGGGTGGGAGTGTTGATCTGCTGGAGGGTAGGAAGGCCCTACAGAGGGATCTGGACAGGCTGGATCGATGGGCCGAGACCAACTGTATGAGGTTCAACAAGACCAAGTGCCAGGTCCTGCACTTTGGTCACAACAACCCCATGCAACGCTACAGGCTTGGGGACGAATGGTTGGAAACCTGCCCAGTGGAAAAAGACCTGGGGGTGTTGGTCAGCAGCCGGCTGAACATGAACCAGCAGTGTGCCCAGGTGGCCAAGAAGACCAACAGCGTCCTGGCCTGTGTCGTGTGGCCAGCAGAACTAGGGAAGCGATCATCCCTTTGTACTCTGCGCTGGTGAGTCCGCACCTTGAACACTGTGTTCGGTTTTGGGCCCCTCACTACAAGAAGGACATTGAGCTACTGGAGCGTGTCCATAGAAGAGCGACAAAGCTGGTGAAGGGCCTGGAGAAAAAGTCATATGAGGAGCAGCTGAGGGAACTGGGGTTGTTTAGTCTGGAGAAAAGGAGGCTGAGGGGAGACCTTATCGCCCTCTACAACTACCTGAAAGGAGGTTGTAGTGAGGTGGGGGTTGGTCTCTTCTCCCCAGTAACTAGCGATAGGACAAGAGGAAATGGTCTCAAGTTGCGCCAGGGGAGGTTCAGGTTGGATATTAGGAAGAACTTCTTCACTGTAAGAGTCATTAAGCATTGGAATGGGCTCCCCAGGGAGGTGGTGGAGTCATCATCCCTGGAAGTGTTCAAAAAACGTTTAGATGTGGCGCTTAGAGACACAGTTTAGTGGGCATGGTGGCATTGGGTGTACAGTTGGACTTGATGATCTTTGAGATCTCTTCCAACCATAATGATTCTATGAGTAGTCAAAATTGCTGGCACTATGTTCAATACATTTTTAAATTTTTTTAATTAATTTGATTATTGTCAAGTTTCTAATGGAAAAGTACCATTTACTGAGAGATTTAAGGGCTTAGTTCTTGTCTAATTTCATTTTATGGACTTCTAATACTAAGAAATGATTGGAGCAGAGACTAGAAAGATCCACCCCTCCTCTTTCATACGAGTGCTCTGAAAGTTAGATAGGAATATTATGTTCATTTATGAAGGAAAAAGTGTCGGTGTCATCAGAATGGACCAAGAGCACACTTTGTTAAGTAGGGTAGCTTGCAATAGCTTGATAGCCTTGATTTGGAAAGTGGGAGGTACAGGCTTTGTTTACTGTAGCAGAAGGAGGTTCAGTTTGGGGAGTGCTTTATCTTTTAGGCAGAGAAGTGGGATTTAAGGTCAGCCTCTCTTCAGTCTCCTCTATCCTTTGTCTTGAAAGACCCACTGCTTAGTTTACTGGCTTTTACAGATCATATCACTGTGTACAACTCCTAAAGCTAGACTCATGGAAGAGCTGACATAGTTCTGTGTTCCTCCACTCTCTGCTGTTATGGATGTTGTTGCTCAGAGAATCTGGTTCTAATTGCCTAGAGTCCTCTGTACAACCTATGGACTTAAGTACACAATCATGGAAGTAATCACAACTGCACCTGTGCTGGTGGTCTTTTGTACTCTTGCGCATTCTTTCAGGTTACAGTTTTGATACTCTACTGCTTTCTGTAAATTAGAGAATACTGGAGGTAAAAATTGTTGGTCTGGCACTTCTTATGCTCCTACATCTCAAACTTAAAAAAGAGAAGATCCTGTCCTTCTGTAAGCCTGTATGTTCATGAAGTAGTCTATAATTTCCAGTTCTTACATCTATGAAGTGCAGCTTTTTAAAAATATTAAAGTACCTCCAAAGCTTGTGCATTATGTTCAATTACTTCTTTTTTAGCCTACTTTTCAGTGTTGATATAAATATGCCTGTTTTACTGGAGAAAATTTGGAACGAGATGTATTTATTAAATAACTATTATCTTGTCTTTCGAGGGCAAAGGTTGGTGAACTTCTTCCTCATGTTTCATCTCCAAAGATTCACCTACAATATGCAAAGGCCAAAGAAGCAGACGGCAGGTGTGTTTGCTTATCTTTGTTTATAAAACACGTTGTTATTGTTGTTGTTATTATACATTACTCTCTTTGCAAAATAAATTAAAAGACAGACTTTAAATTTTGCATAAAATAGCCTTGTGAAAAATGGATTCTAAAATATGTAAACTTAAGATGTTGTGTAAAGATTTTAAACATAATCTAAGGACCTTCCACTAGTATCAAAGATGTGTTTCTAATTGATTGTTTTTCTGTCTAAGCATTAATATCTTTTTTACAAAAATCACTAAGGTTTTTAAGGTGCTGCATCCAATGCAGTATTCCAATTAGCAGAGTATTGAAGTTCAGTTTGTTTTAACAATTCCTTAGCTGTGATTTTTAAAGGTCATTCAAAGGGGGAATAATCATGAAAGAAAATTTTTCATTCTAGAACCAAATTACTGTTACATCTTAATGGCTGCACTTGCAAAATATTGAATAATGTGAAATTACTGACTGAAATGACAGCCCAAAATAGGTTATATTTAATCACAGAATGTAGTTTCTACTAGTCCTTAGCTGTAAGTAAATGTGCTTCAGAATAATGATGCTTTATAATATGATACAGCACCAAAGCTAAATGTTTGCATTGATGAGATTAGAAAATACTATTTGTGTCAGTTGTGTAGTGTGAGAATGAGAAATTTCTTGATCTTGTTTACAGAACAGAAAAGTCTCATTTTTAAAATTGTGCAACAAGTTATCATCTGTTTGGTTTTTATTGTTCTCTCTCTCCCAAGTGATTTAATGCAGAACTGATGGAACACATAGTGTTTGCTGATGGAACAGATGAACCGCTTTTAAGATCTACCAAAAGCGATGCCGTCAGAGAGGATCAAAAATAGTATTGTGGTAGACATTTTTCTGTTGTCTCTGCCTTTCATTCTCCAAAGAGAAAATGAAATAGAGACAAAAAACCATAGTAAATGCAGAACAAGGCTCTCATATGCAAACTGATAGGAAGATGTCACAGAGTAACCTCTCAGAAATAAAATACTGTATGTTTCTTTCACACTGTATTGTAAAGACTTATTTAACAGTTAGCAAAACTGATGTGGAACCATTATTTTGCAGATACAAGGAAGCTGTGATAGCTTATGAGCATGCAAAACAATGGGACAGTGTAATTCGACTATATTTGGATCACCTTAATAATCCTGAAAAGGCTGTTAATATTGTGAGAGAAACACAGTCTCTTGATGGAGCAAAGATGGTGGCCAGGTAACAATCATATTATGCAGGGACAACACAGCAGGGCGTAAGCAATCCAGGAGGTTCCTGGAATGCATTGATGATAACTTCCTTCTCCAAGTGATAGAGGAGCCAACAAGGAGAGGTGCTATGCTGGACCTTGTTCTCACTAACGAGCAGGGGCTGGTGGGGAATAATGTGAAGCTCAAGGGCAGCCTTGGCT